GACTGCCTTTATATTGTCCAGATTTGTGTGGTCGATCGAGCAAACTCTTCGATACGAATTTTTTTTCTTTGCATTCGTCAAATCCTGTCATAAATTCTCCGTTAGGCACAATGAGAGTAAAACTACCTCACGATGTATGTTCACCTGCTGTAACGCCAGGAGTTACGCCACGTTTTAAGTAGCAATGTATTATATCGTGAGGCTCTCGAATTGCCAGATCTAACCGCCCGATTATTATATCAATGTAATCGATAAATAATTCCAGGAGTTTTTCATTCATCCACGAATTAAAAAACTGTCATTTACAGATACGCAGGACAGTGGTACAATAGCGTGCCAAAAACTCAAGCATTATTTATACTAGCATTAAGGGCAGCCATTGATCCTCCAGAAATAACAGCGGGGGGTTTCATTACAATAAACTTGCAGACTTTCGCAGAGGTAAGTGTTATTTGAATTTGCCACTAATTAGGACATAATCTGCATTCTCTTTCTAGGTAATAAAACTATCGTTTTCATACTATACAGTGTTGCAAAGTGCATAATCGTCCACCCTAGAATATGAATGCCATTATCGCAAGAAATATTAAACGAATAATGAAATTAATAACATAGTGTGCACGATAAGGTCGTGAGGTGTGTAATTGTTTATGTTAATCATTGTGTAATGTCAGGTTACAATTGTCGAAAATATTAGAGCAAATCTTGTGGCATGAAATAAAAATTTATTCACTCATATTGATGTTATTAATTGACGTACCATAGTGTGCCATATTTCATTACACATCACTTTAATTCTGTAAACTGCCTTTTCGATTTTAGCTCCAAAATCTCGTTTATGTTGCAAAATGTGTTTCTGTTTCAATAGTTTCAGCATGCGTTAGAAGCGGTAATCAAATTAATATAATTTAATTAATATAATTAAAGTCCGCAGGTAAGTAATGATTTTAGTCTGCGAACGGCGTGCCATTTACAGAGGCGATTGTGAAACAACACCGCGCCCAAATCGCAAGTATTAAGAAGCCACTCCTCGAATAACTGGAGATTCCAATGAACCTAGAACTCTTTACACTTCCTCACGACAGAATTTCAGAACGAAAGTCGACGGTTAATCCAATAAGGCCAATGTATCATCGAAAAGCACCAGTATAGACACCAGAAACGATATCAACCTTTCAGTCGTTCGCACGTGTACAGTAACCGCGAAATTATCGCAATCCTAACGTTCAAATTATGCAATTTATTGCTCTTATATCTTGCCGTATCTTCGAGTCAATCTGTTCGCATTTTCCCAAAACGGTCGACTTCGTTCAAACAACTGAAATCGTCTGAATTTAATATGGTATGCACTACATAGATAAACTTAAGTGGACGATCATTTTCATAGCACGTAGAATTGTAGGAACATATTAGGGTAGTCGAAAGTGTTCCGACATCATAGCGAAATTATGCGTCAACCATTTGCAATTTCAATATTGTAACGACGATAGGGGCTGGCGAATTGAGCAGCAATTTACTCGTCATGCGTAATCGATACGTGATTGATACTTTAGATGGAACACCTAAAAGTAAGAAGGATCGTAACATGGCTCGTTATGCCGCCTCTGTTGTTGTACACTGTGGGTCTACAACTTGGACATTTCGAGCAGTGGACGTTGCACTATGGACGCAGGTGAGTTACAAAAACGGTACTTGAAGATTACGAAGAGATACTTGATATTGAGCGGAATTTGGCCTGATCAGAGCAAATCCACCCAGTATATTTCTCGAGTTATCATTTACATCATTGTTGTACCGTGTATCTTGGGACAGGTACGTGTACCACTGATAATCAACTCTTATTGCACAGTGATATTATAATCTTTTCATTTGCACTTTGTGACTATTTTGATCCTTCATAGTTTGAAGTGAATGTTTAACTAAAACATCAATATTATTTTATATCTGCTCGCTGCTACTTCAGTTGTGGTCATTGTGCTGCATCGGTACAAGAGTGTCTAATTGCATAATATAACTGTTACGATTATTTAACATCGATTATAGATAGCAAGAATGATATGCTTCTTCAGTATGGCTACGGTATTACAACAGCTCTCTTTCGTACTTGCGATGATGCTGCTGCTGGTGAAACAGGGTAATTACATCGTGAATGATGCAAAAGTAAGTATCCACAAATGTTTCCATCTACTGTCTCTTTAACTATAATGGAATGATTTCATTGCAGTTTAAAGCACTATTGAAAGGAATGTTCACCGACTGGGAAGAGGACAAGACAGAAGAGGAAATCGCTATTATGATTTCGTACATGGACAGAGGAGCTTTCTTTGCGGCGATTTATTTAGGTAAGAAAATATTACATTGACAGTATGCTTATATCAATTGCACGAGGTTTTCATTACAATATATCTATAAAAACGTTTCTTTCACGCTTGTATTAGATACCCATCATAATTTAGAAATTTTATCAGTTTTCATGGACAAATATGACATTCGACTATATATGAATAATACTTTTTTCAGCAAACGCCTACTTCTGCGTGATGCTATTCATACAAATGCCATGGTGGCCACGCATTGCCGACATTTTAATACCACTGAATGAGTCTCGACCACGACCAAGAACATAAAAATATGAACATTGACTTTAGAACCGTAATATAAGAATTCATAAATTTGAACTAATATTATTATAAAGTATTTCTAATTACGATCACAATCATTTACAGACACCGTTTCAAGAAGTCGGTCGATGACATCTCTAATAAAAAAAGAATTAAGCGGATGGCGAAAGAGACGCACAGAAGGATTTGCCACTCCATTCGGGCGCATGATCGCGCAATACGGTCAGTATGAAATAATTTGTACTCATTACCGTATTTGGAATTCGTTCCAAAATTATTTTTACTTTCTGCAGATATGTTAGAGAATTTGACGACCTTCATTATGGTTACCTTTTAATATGCATAGGTATGATCGTCGCAGCCTTCAGTGGCACGTTACTCTGGGTAAGTTCATTAAATGATCTCGATTTCGGTAACCTTCTCAAATCTCGCTCTTCGAAACCAGATATCAAGACTGCCGATTTCCTCGCAATTTTGCCAGTATTGCATATTTTTAATGGTTCAACTGATGCATATATTTTTCTTGACGCTTCAAGGACAGTTTGTAATTAACTCAATGGATGATGTCTACAATGATATGTGAGTATTAAATCAATACGAACTAATACTCGATCAGAATCGAAATTTCCGGCAATATACCACGTACGAACATGTTAGCAATGTTTAAGAATTTAGAAATGAAACTATGAAAACAATATGTAAGGTATACGTATTTTTAAAGTATATAATGCAATTCGGAGAAAGAAATGTGTTACTGTCATTTACAGATACGAAGGACTATGGTACAATACTATGCCCAACGTTCAAGCATTATTCATATTAGCATTAAGATCGGCCAAGGTTACACCCCAAATAACAGCCGGAGGTCGTATTCCCATGAATCTACAGACTTTTGCAGCCGTAATACATCAGCCATTATTTGCACTTTTGTAATAGCAAAATAATTTCAATGTCTATATTGTTCTAGGTTATTAAAGCTTCAGTGTCGTACTTCACAGTGTTCCAGTCTATGTAGCTCGATGAGAGTGGTGCGCACTTGGACGTCGACCGATTGGACGCGTCCCGATTGGACGATCCCGATTCGGCGCGTTCCGCCTCGAAGCAGTGCCGAATGGACCTAACCTACCCTAACCTAACCTAACTTCATCTAACAGTTTCGAATTGGAACGTATCCAATCGGTAGAGCGTCGAATTGGAACGCGTCGAATCGGGACCGTCCAATCGGTCGACGTCCAAGTGGAACACCCCCGATGACAACAAGGAAAGCCATAACAAAGCAACACTGTACATGAAACTTATTGTATTTTAAGATAGGGTGCACGATAAACACATAGCTCATATTACATACGATAGTTGAAATTTATTTAAGATTCATTACAGTTTTGTATATTTAATATAATTGTACTCCACGATTTTTATAACGAGAAGAATGAAACTTAATGCATAGTTTTGTCTTATTTAATTAATGGGATCAATAAGTTTGCGAGGGATGTTCTCTGAAGAATACATTTACTGTTATTCAATTTTCATGGCAAGAGTTTTGATCGATCGTATTAGGAGACTCATATATTTTTTTATGAAATTGACTTAAGAAGTGCGTCCCGTACCTAACATCTTTTATTAAAATCTGGTTGATTTGATCATCGAGTCTTCTTTGAGCACGTAAAACTCGATATGTAGTGTATATTGAAGCATTTGATTGAAACAATTAATCTTAAATATCATTGATTACACAACAGTACAAGTTCTACATCCACAGCTGTATATCAAGAGCCCCCAAAGAAACAATTACTTGATATTCTTACTCGAAATGATTTATTTCGTTTCAAGTTATTTCTACAGATCATCCACACCACATTTACACATATTTAAAACTATCATTCACTGACACCAGGAAAAAAGAATAAATCTAACAGAGCGAACACGACGGACAACATTCGCTACCTGTGACCGATACATTCGCGTGCTCGTTATCACTGCATCTCGTGTCCCATATGAAAATTGCAACACTTACTGCTTTGCTACTTGACTACAATCGATCTACTTACATTCATTCGAAACGTGTCCGTAAAACTACAGAAATTGCTTAAAATACAAGTTGCAGTATGGGAAGCGTTTCGTACATATAATAAAACAAAACCCATGCAGATAGCATTTCGATGTCAATGAGCAATCATGCATGCACCGTTTCAACTTTCGATATACAATCATTAGCCAAGCCATAATTTCGCATTGATACGTATATGACACATGATTGACGGCCGATATAAAGAAATAGTGTGTAGAGTCGCTCGAGGTTGAGATTGCACGAAGGTCCAATTCGTGGCAAACGTGTGTATGTCCGCATGTGATGTCGATTTAGTCTCCTGTTGTCTCACCATGGACGCAGTCACGTTGCAACAACGTTACTTGAAGCTCACGAAAGCGTATTTGTTACTCACCGGGATGTGGCCTAACCAGAACAAGTACATTCGATACCTTTCTTTCGCTGTTATTCACTTTGTTACGTGGACTTCACTGACGGTGCAGGTACACATATGTATACTATTTCTGATGCGTGTGATTACCCCTTTTTGGATTTACTCTTTGAACGACGTGTGCAACTGAAAAGAAAACGTATGTTATTGACGAGTTTCGAAATCTCAAAATTTGCAAATTTAACTAGAAACTCATGTCGACGAGTTTAGAATCTGAGACTGTTCAAACTTCAAAGTCTGCCCATATTTTTTGTGCGTGCTTCTACAGGACCTTTACCCTGTTAACTCGGAAGTTTCAAAAATGTAAGAATTTCGTAAAAATTCCACTGGCAATTTATGGCAATTTTAACGTCTTGGAACAGAGTCGAATTTGTTAATTTATATAACCAATTACATCTTTGGTTCTTGATAGTCAAATTCTTCCAAATAATTGTGGAATATCGTATATTTGGCATTTGCAACAGGTAGCAAGAGTGGTACGATTTTTTAGTCTAACAGTTTTGATACAACAACTTGGTTTCTTACTCGGAGGGATACTCCTACTGGCGAAGCAAAGTGCTTACGTCGGTCACAAAGCAAAAGTGAGTAAACATGTTACCCCACTTACACCACATGTTACACTGCTTCTATAATTACACGAAATAAATGATTCGAGTTCAGTTCGAGACACTTTTACATGGAATGTTCAACGATTGGGAAGCGGTGAGGCCGAAGGAGGAGGTCGCCATTATGACTTCGTACATGGACAGAGGAGCCTTTATCGTTTTAATTTACGCGGGTAAGACATGTCATTTTTATAACAAAACACTTTTATGGAACATAATTTTTCAAGTTACATTCATGATAAATATTAGCATCATTATAGAAATTACAAATTGTTATTCCACATCTACTGGTACTATTATTTTAGTCTAATATTAGTATAATTTTATGTTGCATTTGTTATGTTCAAATTATCATTCATTATTATTATTCATTGTGTACATTAATATCGTATATTATAATACTAAACAAGTATATGCTCTTGTCTTTCTCATAAATTTTCTTACAAATATTTGCACCAATTTTCTCGAAAATGAAGGCACGAACAAATTATATTTTTTTAATTAATTTGTCGTGTACAATTCGTTTGTATGAATTAAACACTCTATACATTTTGTTCCCAGTAAATGTATTTGGTTGCACATTGCTGTTCATCAACATGCCATGGCTGCCGCGTATCGCCGACATTTTGATGCCGTTGAACACCTCCCGCGATCGGTTGTTCATTATCCCGGCTTGTTACTTCGTCGACGAAAACAAGTACTACTATTGGATAATAGCGCACATGACTATAATAATTATTACCGCGGGATCCGTGTACATCGCCTGTGATACTTGTTTCATATACATTGTGCAACACGCTTGCGGATTACTTGGCGTGGCAGGGTAAGAATACTTCGCACAACTTTATGTATAATTTATAAAATGAGATAAAGACTCTGGAGTAGCAGGAAAATATTCGACAGGATATTTGTTACGCTGCATGTATAAAACTCTTTAAATTATAATAATTGAGAATATTTGTAGATATCGTTTTAAGGAGGCGGTCGATGAGATGTCTAAAGAGAGAAAAATTGCGGACTTGTCTAACGAGACGTACATGAAAGTACGTCGTTCTGTTCAGGGACATGTTCGTGCTCTAAGGTTGTCGTATGACATATTTATACAAATAAATAGAATATTTTCGTTCATTTTTAAATAGAATCGTTCTCATTGGACCGTGAACATCATAACATCGCACTGTTTGTGAATGTACTTTTAAACATGTTCTACTCTGTTAATTTCATAGTTGCCTTATTTTGTAAAATTCGTGCACCAGTACTATTTCGTAAATTTCATAGACTTGATCTACCTTACAAATTTCATATACTTGCTTCACTTTGTATAATTCATATAGTTGTTCTTCTTTGCAAATTTCATATACTTGCTGCACTTTGTGAATTTCATATGCTTGCTGCAGTTTGTGAATTTCATATACTTGCTGCACTTTGTAAAACTAATATACTTGCTGCACTTTGTAGATTTCATATACTGGCTCTACTTTGTAAGATTCATATACTTGCTGCACTTTGCAAATTTCATATACTTGATCTATTTTAAAATTTCATATATTTGCTTCACTTTTTAAAATTCATATACTTCCTGCACTTTGTAGACTTCATATACTGGCTCTACTTTGTAAGATTTATATATTTGCTGCATTTTGCAAATTTCATATAACTGCTCCACTTTGTAAATCCCCTAATTTTATAACAACATTCGAACTCAAGTTCTATACGCATAAATTCTGCAGATATTTGAGAGATATAGACGACGTGCACGCCAGTTATCTGCTAGCTTGTTTGGGTATCGTAACCGCTGCTTTCAGCGCTACGCTAGCTCTGGTAAGTTTGACAAACTCCCGACTGTCGGATGACAACAACTCCTGCAGCTCTCAATTTTTAAGATCAGTTATCGGAACTGGACATTTGCCTGGAATTTTATCAGGGGCTCGGCTTCTTAGTGGTTCAATTGATGCATCTGTTTTTTCTGACACTTCATGGGGAATTTGTCATTGAATCGAATGATAAAGCCTATAATCAAATGTGAGTCTTAATGCAAACAATAATAAAATCGAAACTACTGTGGGTCTGAAAATTCATAGCTAAAGATTGAAAAGTTTAAGCAGTGAATCGCGTTAAATGTATTATTTACAGATACGAAGGATTGTGGTACAATGCTGCACCTAAAGCACAAGCTTTGTACGTACTAGCGCTAAGAGCATCGGCGGCTGCTCCTCAAATAACAGCTGGAGGACAAATTCCTATGAACTTGGAAACCTTTGCAGTCGTAATGCATTAATATTATTTAAAACCATAGGGATCTATTTAATTATTTAGTCTTATTTAAGATTAAATCGAAAATAATTCGAGCATTCGTTTTCAGATCATAAAAGCATCAGTTTCATATTTCACGATGTTGAAGAGCACATAATAAAACTAGTTCCCTAAGTCGTGTGTGATACAGAAAATACAGATTTTCAGTGTAGTCTTGTTGTCCAGTATCTAGTAGTTTATTAAACTTAATAGGTATTTGACGGTATGATAGCATAAATTAATTTTTAGTTTTATAACCATAAAATACCGCCGGTGTTAAAGAGAACTTCAGATGTTCGTCGATTTTACAGTGGTCAATGTTACACCTAAGGACTAACTTAGAAATTGTATCAACATCGAATAGTTATTTTATGAAAAAATTTGTGTAGATAAAAAGTTACAATATTTATACGATAATATTCTTATATGTCCAATAAAAGGATCACTCGCATTACATACCAATAGAATGTCTTGAATTATGTTTATTCCACAGAAAATAACTTCAGACCCATAAATGTTAAACATTACAAACTTGACGTCATTTTGCAATATTTCGTTTCGAATGACGTGTACACTTCTGTTATCCCACTAATAACTCTCGATAGAAATTATTAAATACTACAAACATACTTTCATTTGTCACCTTCAGTGAATAGCAACTTGTGCACTTCTGATTTCTTTTTGCTATCGTTAATCACTTCCAGACGTTGGAACTTCGGACGCAACGAATGCTGTCGGTGGCAATATAGCCAAAGTAGTAGTCGATATTACTATCAAAGTAGTATCGAAAAGTAGCAGTAAAGATACCAGGAACGATATCAACCCTTCAGTCGTTCACACATCTTACCGCGCAATTATTGCAAACCTTATTTGCGTGATGGGTGAAGAAGCCACTCCTCGAATAACTGGAGATTCCAATGAACCTAGAACTCTTTACACTTCCTCACGACAGAACTTCAGAACGAAAGTCGACGGTTAATCCAATAAGGCCAATGTATCGTCGAAAACCACCAGTATAGACACCAGAAACGATATCAACCCTTCAGTCGTTCGCACGTGCGCAGTAACCGCGAAATTATCGCAATCCTAACGTTCAAATTATGCAATTTATTGCTCTTATATCTTGCCGTACCTTCGAGTCAATCCGTTCGCATTTTCCCAAAACGGTCGACTTCGTTCAAACAACTGAAATCGTGTGAATTTAACATGGTATGCACTACATAGATAAGCTTAAGTGGACGATCATTTTCATAGCACGTAGAATTGTAGGAACATATTAGGGTAGTAGAAAGGGTTCCGGCATCATAGCGAAATTATGCGTCAACCATTTGCAATTTCAATATTGTAACGACGATAGGGGCTGGCGAATGGAGCGGCAATTTACTCGTCATGCGTGATCGATACGTGATTGATACTTTAGACGGAATAACTAAAAGTAAGAAGGATCGTAACATGGCTCGTTATGCCGCCTCTGTTGTTGTACATTGCGGGTCTACAACTTGGATACTTCGAGTGGACGTCGCGCTATGGACGCAGTTACGTTACAGGAACGATACCTGAAAGTTACGAAGAGATACATGATATGGTTCGGAATTTGGCCTTATCAGAGGAAGTCCACCCAGTATATTGCTCGATTTATTGTTTATGTTATTATGGTACCGGGCGCCCTGGGACAGGTATGCCTGAAAATCAATTCTTACATGATTGCACAGTAATATTGCAATCATTCCTTCTTTTTATACTTTGTGACTATTATGTTTTCGTAGTTTGAGGTGACAGAAGTGTTTGACTAAATTATATTGATATTTTACAATATAAAAGTTATTTTATATCAGCTGCTACTTCAACTCCTACATTATGCTGCATTGTGTACAAGAGTGTGTAATTTTATAATATAACTGTTACGATTAACATCGATTACAGATAGCAAGAATGGTATGCTTCTTCAGTTGGTCTACCGTGTTACAACAACTCTCTTTGACGCTCGCGATGCTGCTGCTGTTGGTGAAACAGGGTAATTACATCGTGAATGATGCAAAAGTAAGCATCCACAAATATTTGCATCTATGGTCTCTTTAATTATACGGACTCGACGATTACATTTCAGTTTGTAGCACATTTGAATAGCATGTTCGATGACTGGGAGAAGGACAAGACAAAAGAAGAAATTGCTATTATGGTTTCGTATATGGACAGAGGGGCTTTTTTTACATCGATTTATCTGGGTAAAATGTTACATTAACAGCATGCCTATATCAATTGCACGAGGCTTTCACGACGAAACGCAATATATTTCATGCTTGTATTAGATACTCATCATAATTTAGAAATTTTTACAATATTCATGGACACACATGTTCTATGACATTCAACAATCTATATATGAATAATACCTTTTTTAGCAATCTCTTATGTTACCGCGTGTTAAATGCAACACTTTTATTTACTGAAACCACAAATAACTTTAAAATATGTTTTTTAGAAATTGTGTCGAACAACTTAAAATGATAAGATGCTTGTGTGCTAGTACGTTTGAATCTGTCCTTTCTCGCAAACATTTCATCTCAGTTAGATTTTTATAATAACGACGTTCAATTTGAATATTGCTTAAATTTTTGCTTTACTGCCTTAGGACATGTTTTCTTGAAATTTTAAATTGCCCTAACTTAACAGCAAATGTTTTTCTACGTGCTTTTAGAGGTCACCGAATTGTGAATTTTTTCTTTTGTTGCGCAGTAACATCACACATCTGCGCGACACTGTTCCTCCAAATGCCATGGTGGCCGCGCATAGCCGACATTTTGATGCCGCTGAATGAATCTCGACCACGAGGTTACATCTTTCATGTTTACTATTTCGTCAACGACGACGACTACTATTACTGGATCATAGCGCATACGGCTATTATAACTATCGGAGTTATGTATGGTTTCATAGCTTGCGACATTTATTTTGTATTCGCCGTGCAACACGCTTGCGGATTGTTCGCGGTGACCGGGTAAGAAAATTCCGTCAACGTTTCCGATAATTTAACAAATAGGTGGCAATAGGTGTTCAGATACAGCTAGATCTAATTATTGTTTGATGTGGAAATCAGGACTTTTGTAATCTTGAAATTTTTAATCATAATTGCCAAGGTGGGAACTCTATGATTTTGAATTTAAAATTTCTTTTCAATTCCGTGCACTGATAATATATATCAAATTACGATGATCAATATTTGTAGACACCGTTTCAAGAAATCGGTCGATAATATCTGTGACCAAAAGAAAGTTGCAGAGATGTCGCATGAGATATACAAAAAAATTTGCCACTCCATTCGGGCGCATGATCGCGCAATAAGGTCAGTACGAAATAATTTGTACTCATTATCGTATTTGGAATTCGTTTCAAAATTATTTTTACTTTCTGCAGATTTGTTAGAGAATTTGACGACTTTCATTATGGTTACCTTTTAATATGCATGGGTATGATCGTCGCTGCCTTCAGTGTCACGTTACTCTGGGTAAGTTCATTAAATGATTTCGATTTCGGTAACCTTCTCAAATCTCGCTCTTCGAAACCAGATATCAAGACTGCCGATTTCCTCGCAGTTTTGTCAGTACTGCATGTTTTTAACGGTTCAACTGATGCATATATTTTTCCTGACGTTTCAAGGACAGTTTGTAATTAACTCAATGGATGAGGTCTACAATGATATGTGAGTAATAAATCAATACGAAATACTCGATCAGAATCGAAATTTCCGGCAATATACCACGTACGAACATGTTAGCAATGTTTAAGAATTTAGAAATGAAACTATGAAAACAATATGTAAGGAATACGTATTTTTGGAGTATATAATGCAATTCGAAGAAAGAAATGTGTTACTGTCATTTACAGATACGAAGGGCTATGGTACAATACTATGCCCAAAGTTCAAGAATTATTTATATTAGCATTACGCTCGGCTACGGATACACCCCAAATAACAGCCGGTGGTCGTATTCCAATGAATCTTCAGACTTTTGCAGACGTAATACATCAGCCATTATTTGCACTTTCGTAAAAGCAAAATAATTTCAATGTCTATATTGCTCTAGGTTATTAAAGCTTCAGTGTCGTACTTCACAGTGTTCCAGTCTATGTAGCTTGAAGGCGGCAAGAGAAGCCATTATTATGAAGAAGCAACACACGATTATGGAGGAAACTTACTGCATTTTGAGATAAGATGCATGATAAATATATTGTTTGTATTGCATACGAGATCAATTGCTATTACTATATATTACTCATATTAGGCCATTGCTTTCCGCGACTAACAGGATAATTTTGCAATTTACTATTTGTATACTGTGTCGTACCTTTCAATCAGCAGAGTTGTATTAATCCGGGAGATTGATTCCATTAAATCTGGTGAAAACGTGTCAGTACAAAATTAAAAGCAGTATGATATAATTGGCAATCCCATTCGTGTACCTATCTCAACGGTAGAGATATCCACTGCACAGCAAACATTTGCTGTTTAATCCCCTAGACACAAAGAGAACCATTGTCAAACTAAGATAACATACATTAATTTTCCTTTTTATAATCATAAAATATCGCCAGTGTTAAAGAGAACGTTAGATGTTTGTCAATTTTATAGTATTCAATGTTACCTGAGGACTAATTTAGAAACTGTATCAACGTTGAATAGTTATTTAGAAGAAACTGTGTGTTTGTAAAAAGCTACAATATTTGTACGATAACATCTATATATGTCCAATAAAAGGATCACTTGCATTATATATCAGTAGAATGTCTTGAATTATGTTTATTCCACAGAAAATAACTTCAGACTCGTAATTGTTAAACACTACTTGCCATCATTTTGCAAAATTTCGATTCGAATGACGGGTGCACTTCTGTTATCCCACTAATAACTCTCGGTAGAAATTTGCATGCGACGAGTATGAACGTTGTCAGTTCAGTAACAGTGCAGGTACGAAGAACAACGCCGACTGCCCGATATTGACGTACTCTCATATGCGCTATTACTGTATAATTTTCCGAGGGGCTAAGACCATAATTGTTCAATTTACTGTTTTTATATTCCACCGTACCTTTTAATCAACAGATTTATATCGAAACGGT